ACAGTTGGGAGGTGTGACATGAAGGTTTTCTTTCATAACTAACCATTTCTTAGCTAACATAAATTAACTTTAGTCAGTTCCCTATCATTTAGAAGACACATACTGAAGGATAGTCCCCCTGGATTTACATGATGGCTCTGGGAAATAATTATTATGGTATAATTCCCTCAGAAAATCGGACAGTTCACCTACAGTGCAACTAGCCCATGCCCTTTGCCATATAATAGCCTATATATTCTAATAACTTAATGCTAAGGAAAATAAAGCAGTTTTCCCAAAAATGTAGTTTGTAAAAAACATCTCTAACAGCTGTCCAAGAATAATCAACATATAAACCGTTAATGTAATAATTAACTGAAAGTTTGTCACAATTGAACAATGGTTACAACCCTAATGTTCCTCCCAATGCATTCTAATATTTAAAGGAATTTGAGGTGTATAATCGCCATTATAAACATTTCAATATAATAGCCAGAAGACCTAAAGTGTAAAAAACATAAAATTGGTGTAAATTTATGCATATATTATGTTATAGGCCCATTCACTTTTATTTTTTGTGCCTCACTGTAACCTTGAATTTATCCATTTATCTTTTATATTGCTTCATATATTGCTTTATTTGGGATTTTCACATTTGAAACGAATGGTCATTTTAGGTTAACATAATTCAGAGTTTTCCTAATTGCATTCTGTTTGACCCTTAGGTAAATTGTAAATTCCAGGACAGTATTTTGTGATTTCACACTGTATATTTGATGTAAACTCTGGGTTAGCATTCTTATTTGCATAATTACAAAATAAAAAACGCGGATAAGTTCAAGACAACAAGAAAGCAACTTGTTTTAAGGACAACACTTGCATTGATTGATTTAACTGCACCTTAGAAAGGTTCCCTTAAGGCTTAGATGCTGAAACTAAACCCACTGCATGAGTTTCTGTGGATGAATATTTAAAGGTGCAGTAAGCAATTTCTGAGAAAAGCTGTTGAAAGTAGAAGTAGAAAGCAGGTAGTAAGCGCCACAAAACACGTTTATCCAATCAGCAGTGGGGGGTGTGTCCACTCATGATGGGGGAGGAGGTAGAGTGAGCAAGGGGAGATTTGAAGAAAGACTGTAGAAAGAGAGATGGCTGAGAGACATTACAAAAGAGAAAAAGTCAGAGGAATATCAATGGAAAAAGAAGGGATACGATCAGGCAAAATCTTTAGGACCCGCATTATTATTAGAAAAGCTTTCCAACGCTGGAGAGAAATAAGCGGGAAGGCCGGAAAAGGATGAAGAGGTTGGGTTGTTTCTCCTCCATACACGAGTAACATTAGTTTTGCTATGTTTCATATGCTGTTGCTGTAATGTTTTCTATAGTAAAAAGACAGCGTGTCATTAGCCGGGTTTCAGTTTTTCACTTTTTCTAAATTTTCTAATTGCATTGTGAAAAACAAGTTCTTTGTGACCCACAATATTTCTTGTAAAAAAAAAAAAGATTTAAATCCAAAAGAAAAGGTATGAGAGAGCTGTTTTTATCAATTGTATATTTTGATTTAAAATGTTTGCGATGTTAACATAAAAAGGCCTACATGTTTAAATGTTTTGTCACTTGCTTGAGCAACTTAATATGTAAATCTATATAGTAATCCATTGAATAATAATTTTTGAATAAGTGTATAAAGTTTAAACGTGAAGAGTGTAGACCTATAACTACTGTGTATGCAAATAGAACTGAATGCTGAAACTTTTTTATTTTATTTGATAAAAGTATTGATTTGAAATAAAAAATAGAGCACAATAGCGCGTGCTGCTTCTGCTCCGCATACACACTGCACAAACGCTCTTGCTTTTTGTGTAATGCATGTATATTTTATGCTCTTCCTTGTTGTTTATTTGTTACCTTCGCTTAATAGGGGTGTGTTTGTTAGGGTTGATTTCAAATGTGTTTCTCAGAAATCCCTTACTGTACCTTTAATAAGGCAGGCATTGTTTATCTTATGATTGGTTGTTAAACAACTAATTTTGATGTTAGCAATGCATTGAGCCAAGGTTAACATAACAGTGTGAAACATTGTAAAACATTACTTAACCCAACATTCCTGAAACATGTGAAACATTACTTAACCCAAGGTTTGAAAATATTCATCTAAAGTTCAAGTCCCCCTGTAGTAAATCATTTTATCCCTTAAACTCACCTTTGATCACATATTTAAAAAAAAAAAAAAATTCTTGCAAAAAAAAAACCCTTGCAAAAAAGAAAAATAGCTTGCATGTAACTCTACACTCATGCCTTATTTAGTGTACCACGTGGTTCTATGAAAATGAAAATGAGCCCCGCCTCCACTCACTCGCACACGCTCAGGAGTGCGTTTCCCGTACAACTATGTAACTCGCTGCTTCACAAACATAGGATGCATCGTTGGAGAAATCAACTAGCTAGTCACGATTGTTTACCGAAACCAATTGTCGCAAAGTATCGTTCAACCACGTTGGTTTCGCACGTGGTGGAGTAATAACTACTTTTAATGAAACTGTTTGAGATCCAATTAACGCTAGATTTTTTAACATAAATTACAGACATGTCATCTGAGGACTTTTTTTAATTGGCTTAATATTCGGCTCGTTCTTACAGTACATAGTAGAGCACGTTCGCACATGCCCACTCTTCAAACACGGTACTTTAAATCTTTTGACAAACTAAAAGACGTAAATTACATTTGTATGTATTCTAAATAAAAGGCACCGGTTGTACTGAATGTCAGCTTGCTTATTTTGCTCAAGATAAGGATTTATTACGTCCAAATGTCACGCAATATAGAAACTAAGCCTCTAACCACAGGTCGAGAGATGTCGTTCAAACCACACGACTTTGCGATGCTGTTTGCGAATATTCGTTGGAACGATGGTTTCGGGAAACACCGACTCGTTGAACTACGCTGATAACGACGGAACTTGCGACCATAGTTGGCTAACGATGCTTTCGGGAAACGCACCCCAGAGCCACTCATTGGTCACATGTTGACGTGATTGGTTACTAGGTAGTTTGTGACATCAAAAACACCAGCGATTTCAAACTGCGTTTTTGAGACGGTCTTCGGTTCACTGCAGTTTTAAGGAGAAAATACTCAGCAATGGTGTGATTTCAGAGTTCAAAACGGGAGTTCAAGAGATTTCCACAACGCATGCGCGAGAATTGCGATCTCCTTCAACTAATTCAGTTCAGTTCTCGCGCAAATCACTTGAACTCTCGTCTCAGGCCTACAAGGAAGAAAAGGAATAGTTGAATAAAGTCGTTATTTTTGTTTGTTTTTTCGCACAAAAAGTATTCTCGTCGCTTGATAAACTTATAGTTGAGCCACTATAGTCACATGGAATATTTAAACATTTTCTTCAATGATTTTCTGGGCCGTCAAGTTTCGATCCCTTAGGAGCCTATGTAGCAGTGATCCAGCTCTCAAATTTAATCAAAAATATCTTCATTTGTGTCCCGAAGACGAAGGAAGGTCTTACGGGGTTGGTACAGCATGGGGGTGAGTAATTAATGACTTAATTTTAATTTTTGGGTGAACTATCCCTTTAAAAGCTTGATTTTCACCACAGAGGGACTTTAAGTGTAGAATTAAAATCCTCCCCCCGACACACACACAAGCTTTTTGCAAGATAAAGGAGAAGACAGAACCAGACATGGACACATTTTTGGTCTAAAGTTGCACTTTAATCCTAACACTTATTGGCTGTTTGGCCCCCACCCGTCTTTGCCCACCCCGTTCCCACCCCATACAACAGGCACACAGAGAGCGATGAGTAACAGACAGTTCAACAGTTCTGAACAAAATCCAGATTGAAATCCAGAGCGGATTCCAAATCCCATGAAGAGCTTCTGAGGTAAGAGCGAGACACACACCGACAGAGGAAAAAGGATCTTCGCAAAAACGCAGATACAGAGTCGAAAGTGTAGTTAGCAATCATCATGATCAACATCAAATGTCAAAAAAGAGAAGCGGGTATGTGTCCTGGGAACAAAAGGAAAAGCATCTGCATGTTTCCTGACAACATGTTACGGCAGAACTCTTTGGTTTCAACTCTTGAGGTTTTTAGCAAGAAAATCTTCCTTTGTTGACCTAATCAGTTACCTTTGGATTGAAGCTGTAGTAGTTGAAGGGAAAAGCAAAAGAAAACAGGCAAACACCCCCGTAAACTGTCAACATAACTGAACAAAACTGTTCAGCTCTAATTTGAGAATATTCGGAGAACAATGCCGCTTAAATGTGAGATTTGCCTCTATTTGGCAATGCAAAACAACAGAACATACTGCACAATGACAACGCTGCAGTCGAGGACATTCCTGCTGTATATGGTTGAAGAACAGTTTTGCGTGTGCATGTCTACAAGAACGTCCATGCATTTGAGCGCGTCTAGTGTGTGAGAGGTCCTGCGGTAGAGGTTTAACTTTGGTATCATTCATGGCCCTCTACGGCAGAGCCGTCCACACACACCGACACACAGAGATATATACAAAAACCAATAATCACATGAGCAACGTACACATAGAAAACCGATGTGAAAACCAAATCTGCCATCAACCGTTCTTCAACACCGATAGTGGGCCGGATATTTGAACCAGACATTGGATAGATAATCTGGGGAAGTCTGTGAACCATTATACTCACGCGAAAAAGACGCTACAAAGACCCTCTCCTGAGCAACATCTCCTCTGCTCCCCTTCGTCAAATTCTTAAAGCTTTTTTCCATCTATTTGGCATTTCTAATCAAACATGAGGTATATGCAGAAGCGTATCTCTCTCACTCTTTTTCCCTCATCCAACGCATCTAAAAAAACCGAAGTAAAATCGAAATAAAAAGAAAAAAGTGGATGCTTAAAATTAGCCCATAACTATACATTACATCAAGTTATAGAGACATAGTTTGGAAACTTTTCATCTCTCGAAAGCGGTGGGCAGATTTTTTTGAAAAGTTACCCACAGAAACAACAGTCAGTTTTAGTAGCTAGTTTGGTTTCAAAAACTTTGTTGACACTTGCTTTTTTTTTTTTCTTAGCTACCCCACATTTCCCCCGTTTGGTTTTACAAAGTTTTAAAAAAAGACAGAATCGATAAATTAAAATGCTATAAATACATAAATAAGCCAATAAATAAGACGAAGAGTCGGAAAACATATAAATCCTTGATACACCCTCCCCCCACACACAATAAATACAAATTTTCGAGGGAAAAAAAAAAATCGAAGAGAGACAGTTTAAAGCTTTTGGTCTAAAATCAAGTCATCATCATCATCATTAACATTTCATAAGGACTATTTTTATCACAGCCTTTTTTTTTACATTACATTAGCAATAGTAAGCAGTTGAACATAGATTTTTTTTTTCCTACAAAATCTATCAAAGCACTAACAGGTACATTCCCTCTAGAAGTGTAACGCCAACCGGATTTCCAGTTGCTTTTAAACCCCATCCCACCCCGTCCCCCACAACCTCTACATTTCTCGTTTGCCGCGTTTTTGTATGCGTCTAAGATCGCATCGTCAAAAAACAGTTTGGCCGAGCGAAAGTTAAGTTGGCCGTGTTTCGGTTTGGTTTCCATGCTGGAGATGAGCTTCCACGTTCACACACTCACACACGTCTCACACACTCTTTATCTCTCCTCGAAGAGACCTAGCACCAATACGGTCTTTCTCCACGCGTTGTGCATTGGTTAGGTTGCTATTTGGTGTCGAAAAAGAAAAGGTTTTCGCTTTTGGTATTTCTTCGCTTTTGGCTTATCGTTTCACAACATTCGCAATCGAAGCAAAACTTGGAAGCTACATGTTCACAGTATTGTTTCAAACCGCCTGATGAGGGAAACCCCCCCCGGAACGATCAATTCAAAATGACGAAACACACGAAATATGAAAATAGGCAATACGTCACCCCATTATCCCAAAAATATAAAGCAATGAGACGAGTCATACAGCATAAACAGACAGACCAAGAGGAAAAAAGCAATAAAACAAAATATATATGTATATATATATATTCTGAAGTTCAGTTCGATGAGGTTAATAAATATTCTCCCGTCCAGGAAGGAGAGCAAAAGCATCGACTTAACGGAAAGGAGGGAGGAGGTGAAGGAATGATCTTCTGGTCAAAGCCACGTTGAGTCTTTTCACGTCTTTGCTACTCTAAAAACGTCCTCCTTGTCCACCTCCTGTGGTCCACTCCTAGTATTTGGTTTCATTCCATTGAGTAAAGTTCGGTTTTAGTCCATTGGTTTTGGTTTGGTTTCATTTTTGGTTTAATCCGTGTGTTGAAAAAAAATAAAACGAGTCTCCCCTCCGCGTCTCGGTTGTTGGATTTCCCCCTGCAGGTTTCCTCGGATCCTCTTCAGTCGCTGCTCCTGTCGTTCGTTTTCTCCGTTTGGCCTTTTTCACCACACGAGGCACAGGAGAGGGGTCCAGAGAGGATGGAGGGCAGGGGTTTGGGGGCTCAGGGGGATTTCTTTGAAAATTTCTCCTTGTGTATGTTGTTTTTTTTGTTTTTTTGACATGTCTGAGGTCTTGTCGTCCGAACGCTTTTTAGCTGACGCAAAAGGCCAGACGAATGCTTTGGTATCCAAGAAAAGTGTGTCAAAGATTGAGGCATGGGTTCCAGCGGATGATCAGTGATGGAAAGGGAATCACAGTAACTTCAGTGTATATGTGTGTGTTTGTGTGTGTAATACTGAAAAAAATCCCTTCTTTCATTCTGTTGTTCAACTTAAATTTGACAGGAAAAAAAGCTGATGAAAATGGAATGAAAAAGAATGCGTAAATCAAAATAGTTGATAGCAGAGGTAGATTGAGAAATACATTTACAAATAGTTTAAAAGAAACAAAACCGAGTTTACCTTACATGGGGTGCATGAAAAACAAGGAAAAATCGAGCAAAAGGTGTTTGGTGTTTTGTAGAGTTAATCTGATCCTGGACAATTCAGGTTTCAAAGTCTTCGTTAAAGCTTTTCTATCCGATTTTTTGGTTTTGATTTTTGGTATTTTGGTTTTGGTATTTTTCGTCATTTTTTTTTTGTCTTTGTGAGTCGTTCCATTCTTCTTCCATGTGTTTATTTTTTGGTTTCTCTTTCTACCATCCAGTGACACTTGTCAAATGTCCTTTCTTTGTTCCATTCGTTGCCACCCGTTTTCCTTTGTTGATGTTTCTTCGTAAAAGTTTTTTTGGCTCACGACCCTGCCCTCAAAAAAATCTGTTCATGTAGGTTTGTCTTTTTCTATTCAGAAAGGAATAAATGTACATTCTCCACAGTAGCTCCATTGAGGCCACCTCTCCACGCTGAATAGATCAATTTTTTGGTTTAAAAAGTCCCCCGTTATCCTGTTCTCTCCTTATCCCTCTTCTCTTCTGCTCATTTCTCTGTATTTTTGGCATTCAAAGACATAATGAGAGAGAGAGCACAAGAGAGAAATGGAGGGATTGAGAGATGGCTTTGGTTGAAAAGGCGAGTCTTGTTTGTCTTCATTCTTCTGTCCCTCTGACTCCCCTCAAGTGCAGTAGCTTGGTGTGGGCGTCACTCAGCCATAGCTCCGCCCAGAGGGGGTGGTGAGGCGTCACCTAATGAGCAGAAGGAGGCGGGGCTTGAGCAGGGGGAGATGGAGCACGAGTCTGGGCTTGCGCCTCTCACGCCAGAAGGCGGAGAAGCTCTGGGGTGGCCCACCAGACCCATGCCTGCGCTCCTCGCCAGGGGCAGTAAAGTGGGGCGGTTTAGGAAGAGGGACTGGCGCAGTCCAGCTCCTGGACATCCAGCTCCACCCAGGAACATTTGACCCCCGCCCTCAAGAGCAGAAATGGGAATCTGGCCACCACTGGCAGCTAGGGCTGTAAAAAGATGAGAGAAATAAAGAAAGAGCTAAAGTTATACACATACTCCTGGTATTTTAATCTGTCTCTTTTGTCCACTTTCAACCACTTTTGTCCTGATTTCTTCAAGGGGAGGGTCTCTATAGTTTGGTAAATGTATGGAATAATTTTAGATCTTTGATCTAATGGTTAAAACAAGCTCACGCAATTTATAATGTATATGAACACGACTGGAGAAAACAAAACAAAAAAACTAGGGCTGTCAAACGATTAATCGCGATTAATTGCATTCAAAATAAAAGTTTGTGTGTATAATTATTTTGTATATATATATATAATACTCACACATGCATGTATATTTAAAGGGATACTCCACTTTTTTGGGAAATAGGCTCATTTTACAACTCCCCCAGAGTTAAAAAGTTGAGTTTTACCGTTTTCGAATCCGTTCAGCAGATTTTTTTATGTTTAGAAGAATATCTGTAACCAGACAGTTTCTGGTCTCATTGACTTCCATAGTATATATATTTTTTCCTACTATGGAAGTCAATGAGACCAGAAAGAGTTTTCTAAATATCAGAAAATCGGCTGAATGCATCCGAAAACGGTAAAACTCAACTGTTTAACTCTGGAGGAGTTGTAAAATGAGCCTATTTCCAAAAAAAGTGGAGTATCCCTTTAAGAAAAACATTTATATTTATGTATAATATCTCTGAACAGTATATACATGAAAATATTTCTTAAATATATACAAGCGTGTGTGTGTATTTATATATATATCAAATAATTATACACAGTGCACCCACACATATTACTGTATGTAAACACAAACATTTATTTTGGATGTGATTAATCGCGATTAATCATTTGACAGCCCTAAAAAAATACATGCAGAGAGCATCAGCTTTCGTTTCTCCTCTGACAGCCGAAAGATCAGAAGAAAGCAATCTGGTCAAATCCGTTTTCGACTATCTGTGGAAGTGGTCAAAAGTGGTAAACCGAGTGGACAATAAAAAAATTATTAAGAAAGAAAGAAAGAGCGCTCTCGCACATAAAGTCCAAATATGGCCCGCCGCAAAAGTGCGATAACGCACGTCATTCCAGGAAATCCATATGGCCATCATACTATGACTATAGCTGAATAAACAAGATCGAAACGCTTCGATTGATTTAACATGACTAATAAACACACGACTGCAACAATATATGGTTTATCCGAGTTTTTCAAGCCTTCCCTGGTATTTTCATGATAATAAAGTATATGCTAACAAACATAGTCATTATCACAGTTGAAGTAGCTGTGCACAACAAAAACAGAAACGGGGTGTTTGGTCAATTGTGAGGCAACACATTGGCCCTGAGTTGCCTTTTCTTTGAGGTAAATGTAGTAATTCTAGATTGTGTCGTCGGCTCCAGTACGGTGTTGGTGGAAAAGGGTTTTAAGTGATGAGGATGAATATGGCAAGTGCTTTTGAAAGAGACGGACAAGGTGCACAAACGCAGGTCTTACACACACACACACACACACACACACACACAGACAAACATATATGTAAGAAGTGAGGATGAAGATGTGATGAATATGTGGTGAGAGATTTTCATTCCTCTGATCTTGAAAATATAGGACGGCTTTTTGATGGTGAATGATGGAAGGTTTCATCGCCAAGTTCCTTAATGGATATCTTTGAATGAATCTTCTTTTAAATGATTTTCTCGTCATCTATGACAAACCTTGCATTGTGGCCAGAGGGTTGCTGCTGATGAGGGCCTGGTTCATTCCTGTGCTTACACCCATCATTGTGTTCCTGTAATGTGTGTGATGTGTCATTTACACGTGTCCACAAACATACGCCATTCATACATGCAGAGAGAAGCAAGCATTTTTAGTGACATGTCAAAAACAACCATGTCCATCGTGGAGTTTGTGTTCGTGTTCTGTTTAAACACATACTGAAAAGAATGACATTAAGACGAGAAAACTTAAGAGGAAGAAATTCACACACAACCGAGAACAGAGATTTTATCGTGAAAACAAGTATGATAAGACTACAGCAAAGATGTAATTATTTCAGTTCAGAATCCTGAGTCATAATGAAAGCTATTGACAGAATGATGATGTGTTTTTTTCAGTCTTCACATTTATGAGTGAAATTTTAAGGTAATATAGAACAATGGATGCTGGATTTATGCAAATATCCTTGAACATTATAGATGTATCAAATAATAATAAATGAACATTCACAATTTTTTATGATTCAAATATAGGTAAAACGACCTAAACAAAAACCTGATTTTCTGATTTAATAATAATAATTTTTATTATATATAATTTGTAACAATCTCGGTATAAGATGGATCAGCATTGGATAGTGAATTTGTGAAAATGTGCAAATATTGTTTAAATGTCAAAATATAATAATTAAGAAAAAATTAACATTCACAATATTTCATCACTCAGTATATTAGTTGTTAGTCGATTAAATCAGCTTAAACAAAGAATAGATTAATAATAGTAATAATAATAATAATATTTGTTAGTTGATTAAATCAACCTAAATAATTGATTGGATTCATTTCTGGTTAAATGAAAATAATAATAATAATCATCATCATTTTTAATAGTCCATTTCTAGATCATTTACCTTATGTTCAACATTGGATATTGAATTTGTGCAAATTTTCAGGCATTGTTTAAAAAATAGAATAAATAAGAATTAATGATCATTACAATATTTATCACTCAATTTATTAGCTGTTAGTTGATTAAATAAACCTAAACAAATAATGGATTAATATTAACAACAATAATAATAATAATAAATCGTAATAATAGTTGTTAGTAAATTAAATCAACCAAAACAAATAATTGACTGGGTTTATTACTTATTAAATAATATTACTGTTATTATTAAATGTTCTTTTTTTTAAGATCATTTATCTTATGTACAACATTGGATAATATTGAATTTGTGCAAATTTTCAAATATTGTTTCAAATATCTAATGTTTAAAAGTATAATAAACAAGAATAAATAAACATTCATGATATTTTGACTCAATATATTACTTTCTTAGTTGAACCAAACAAATCGAAATAAAATTATATTTAATTAAAGAATAATAATAATTTAATTAAAATAACATGTCTAGAATAATTTATAAATAATAATAATTTAATTAAAATAACATGTCTAGAATAATTTATAATTATGTAATATGTATTATTGTTATGAATTCTCATAATTGTTATTATTTTAAATTATAATTATTTTAAAAGAGCATTTTCCTGCCCTAAACACGTGAAGCCGCTTCTTACCCTGTGTTCAGGCCAGGGCTGCCGAGGCTCGGCGGGGTGGGGCTCACTGTGCTGAGAGGAGGCGGAGTCACCGAAGAAGGGGCGGAGCTCAACGCTCCATGTCCACTGGGGTTGAGAGGGCAGGCCACAGAAGGTGTGGGACTGACGGCTACATAAGGAGAGAGAGATTCAGTGTCTGTCCTTGCAACCACAACTGTGAAGTGAACAACACTATTACTCATTCTAACTGCTCTTCTCACCTGTTGTGCTGAGACTGGTAGCGACCTGAACCAGTCCCTGACTGGACATCTACAGAAAAAAGGAAAGAGACTTTAATTAACAAACATACATCTCATAATGACATTCTTTAATATTTTCCTTTACTTTCAAAGGTCCAATTTTCATTTTATGGTAGAACATTATTCAAACACATCTCTTTTATACCACGTTTGCACCCATTCTCATGCAAACAACATATCAACACCAGCTGTCAGTTGAAATGGCTTCGGGCCAGATCAATCGCTAAAGCCATGAGTGTGTGTAGTACCATGTGCGGGCTGTAGCAGGGGGGCTTGTGCGTCTGTGCTGGGGGCTGAGTGGGCAGCGGAGGGGTGGCGCTGGAGGGGTTGATGCGCTTCTCTTTCTGCCGTCGGTTGCAGAACCAGACGCGGATGACCTCTTTCTCCATGTTGAGCTGCTCGGCCATCAGCAGGATCTCTTCAGAGGTAGGCTTCTGGTTCTAAAGGGGGTGATGTGAGATGCATGAGTACGTGAGACGTGCCAAACACCTGCACTCAGGCCAAGACCAAAACAATTTCAGTATTTGAGGGAAAAGCATGCTTCAATCAAAGACACAATTCTTACTCAAACATGGATTTATTGAAATCATTAAGAGTGAGAATTTACATTGAGGAATTTGTTCTAAAATCGAATTATTCATGAGGTTGATTTGATCACCACTCCCCTTGATAGGTTGTTTTATAATTGCTGTATTATCTGATAATGGGACTGTTTTGGTTACATGTTTTATAATTAAAGTTTCTGTCAGCGTAACGCCAACCGGCAGATTGAGTTACTTAGGAGTGGAGAGAAGCAGCATGAGACGCCTCAAGCGTATTGGCTGTTTGCCATGACTTGATCTTGGATGGGTTTCCTCGGAAAAAAGCTTACAACACTAGAGAAGTGTGTGACTGGAGGTTTTGTGACTCATGTGCAACCATTAAACTAAACTGTCTTATGGGGATTAATAAATCTGTATCGTTTAGTATGAAACATTGGAATGATCTAGGAAAGTTTGTGTCTTGTCTGCTTTTTGTTTTTAGATTCACCTATCATCGCAGCTTGGTGGTCCACTTAACATGTAAACCAATAAACAGTCATTTATTGTATTCCTACTATCATTGCTACTTGTTGTTCCAATTATCATTGTAAACCAATAAAAAGTCTATTTTAATTTTATGTTATTTTATGCGAAGCAACTTACAAATGAATATTGCAAGCAAATTATCATAAGAAATAAAACATGTTATTATGATAAAAAAGTCTATTTTAATAAAAAGTCTATTTTAATTGTATTTAAATGTTATGTTTTTTATGCGAAGCAACTTACAAATGAATATTGCAAGCAAATTATCATAAGTAATAAAAAATATTATTATTATTATAAAAAAGTCTATTTTAATAAAAATTCTATTTTAATTTTATTTAAATGTTATGTTTTTTATGCGAAGCAACTTACAAATGAATATTGCAAGCAAATTATCATAAGTAATAAAAAATATTATTATTATTATAAAAAAGTCTATTTTAATAAAAAGTCTATTTTAATTTTATTTAAATGTTATGTTTTTTTATGCGAAGCAACTTACAAATGAATATTGCAAGCAAATTATCATAAGTAATAAAAAATATTATTATTATGATAAAAAAGTCTATTTTAATAAAAAGTCTATTTTAATTTTATTTAAATGTTATGTTTTTTATGCAAAGCAACTTATAAATGAATATTGCTAGCAAATTATCATAAGAAATAAAACAATATTATGATAAAAAAGCCTATTTTAATAAAAAGACTATTTTAATTTTATTTAAATGTTATGTTATTTTATGCGAAGCAACTTACAAATGAATATTGCAAGCAAATTATCATAAGAAATATATAAAACATATTATTATGATATATTGTTATATTTTGGAATTGTATATATTTTATTTCATCACTTACAAACTAACAAAATTGCAAGCAATTTACCATAAGATATAATAACATGAATAATTATATATTTACATTTATGCGTTATATTATATGTTATTATATTATATTGCATAATTCTTTTTTTTCTTGTCTTCTTTTATTTTATTTATAAAAATATCACATTGTTTTATTATTTCTTTTTTTTTTCTGGTTGGTAACCTAACCTTCTATATGTGTCTATAGACAACCTTCTGGGCTGTTAGGTAAACTGGCCTATGATATTATATGTTTAATAATGCATAAAAATATGCTCCTATAATCCTGCCAGGAGTATATGGGGTTTAATGTGGTGATATAATTCTTATACAGTATATTGCAATAAATTAGTTGGCTGGAAGACTTCTGTTTCTCCAGAGAGAGATAAAATGGATTCAGCATTTTCAAAAAGAGAACCAATATTTTTTTTATCATGAGACAGCAAAAAGGAGGTCATGAAGCTGAGGAGGAATAAACCGAGTTAAATGAATGAGTCGTTTGAAGGAAATATGATTTCTGAAGCAGGAAATTAAAATCTTGCAGCATTTGGTGGTATGGTGTGTGTGTTGTTCACGAGTCCGACTAACCGAGATGAAGTTGCGCTCCAGGGCAATGCGGACGTTGGTCTCGATGCTGGTGCGTTTCTTTCGGCGGCGTCCAGGCAACCCTTCAAAGCCCAGCAGAGGTGAAGACAGAGAACTGGGGCTCGGAAGCATGTTGTCTATCGCCATGGTTTCTGTGACGCAAACACGCACGAATCGTAAAGAATCCAAACATGAAAAACTAATGAGAAAAGTGAGAAAAACACACACCTGCATCGCTCAGCCATTTCTCCAGCAAGGGTTTGAGCTTGCACATGTTCTTGAAGCTGAGGTTGAGAGCCTCGAAACGTGAGATGGTGGTCTGACTGAAGTCATTGCCGTACAGTTTCCCCATGGCCATACCGACGTCCCCCTACATGAAGACATGCAGAAGAGTTACCATTCGCTCGTTTCATCATTTTATCCCCGGTTTAGCTTGAGGACTGTTATGTTAATGTTTCACACACACCATGGGATTTCTTTGGAAGCTTGTGTCCGCCACAGAAAAAATTGCGTAATTGCGACTTTTTATCTCTACAATTCTGACTTAGTTTCTCAGAATTGCTTGATCTACACTCACCTAAAGGATTATTAGGAAAACCATACTAATACTGTGTTTGACCCCCTTTTGCCTTCAGAACTGCCTTATTTCTTCAAGCCATTGATTCAACAAGGTCCTGAAAGCATTCTTTAGAAATGTTGGCCCATATTGATAGGATAGCATCTTGCAGTTGATGGAGATTTGTGGGATGCACATCCAAGGCTCGAAGCTCCCGTTCCACGACATCCCAAAGATCCCAAACGCGCAATTATCTTTTAAATAGTTTTATTCCGTGGAGGAAACAATCTTCCTTAGATTTCAATACCAACTTAAGTGTTTTTTCCCTCACAAAATTATGTTAGTGGCATGTTATTTTCACACAAATGATCTCCAACTAAATTTCTCCAAATGGTTGCATCTTCGTAATTGCTTTACAACTTTTTGCCAACTATCTTTAAAAAGAAAATTAAATAAGGAAAGGCAGATCCCAAATAATGCATTACAATATTAAATTGTGTGAATTAAATGAATGTCTCCCCTAATCATACACAAAATTGTATTAATATATGTAAATATTGTAAAATTTTAATAGAACTACAAAAAAACATGATTGTTGCATTCATACATTAAAGTTATATTAAAATGGTATTTAAAAATGAACATAAATAAAGATTTAAAACTGCTCAGAATGACCATTGTGATTATAATTAATGCCATAGGCCACCCTTAATTATATACATAATCTTACAGTGTATATGGCAAGAAGTTATTTCAATAGGTTTCATTGTACATATGAATTAATATCCAACAATATTATTGATATGACCGCATATGATTGAAGTGAATCTCCAGTAATCACAGTAATTCTCCTGTTATTACTGTGAGGCTCCTTTATAACAATCCCTATTGAATAAAGCGCTAACTTGACTTGAAATGTCAAAAATAAGTGTCTTGAAAGAAGGTTTAATCGGTTTTCATTTCTATTTTTTGGAAAAGTCAAACTGTGACTGTGAAAAGTGTCTCACACCTGTGTGAACCCAAGTTTAATTCGCCTCTGTTTGAAGGTTCTGGCAAACTGTTCGAGCTCCTCCAGGTCGCTGGGCTCCTCGGGATGGGGCGTCGCCGTGGGAACGGAGCTCATGGGAGGGGCGGAGGAAGGGGCGGAGCTCACAATGCTCTCCACGTTCTTCTCCCTCTGCAATGACCACAGCCTGTCGTCAAGATGACGCTACAGCACAGATTGGGAAAACACACTACTTTCTCAAACACGTTTCTACTGTGAGACAGAGCCTTCAATTTCAAACCCATTCCAAAAGATTCCCTTCATTTTTGCATAATGTCCTTTCTACCCCTTAAAGGCACCACATTTAGACTGACTATATAGCATATTACCATTCAACTCATATTATTTTATAAGTATGCGATAACGTTCAAAAGTACGATTTTTTTGGTCACACTTTAGGGTTCAGTTCTCACTATTAAATATGACTTTTGCCTCAATAAACTCTAATAATAAGCTTTAAGAATAATTACTTGATAATAAGTATAAATAAACAACCAGTAATATACTGGTCAGAATTATTTAGGTAAATACGATCAAAGATGGCTGTAAAAAATAAATCTGCATTGTTAATCCTTTTTCATATTTTATAAAGAAAATCAGCAAAAATCTAACCTTTCATTGAAGTAAAAGAATTGAAAGTGGGGGGAACATCACATTATGAAATAAATGTTTTCTCCAAAACACATTGGGAACAATTATTTGGCGCCTTTTATTAAATACTTTTACTATACTAATAAGCAATTCGTTAATAGTGAGAATTGGACCCTAAACTATTTACATATATATCTATTTAATAGATTTTATATATTTAATTCAAATAAATTGAACCTTGAACCTTCAATTCATCAAATAATCCTCAAAAAAATTAACCATGTTAATTTTAAACAAATATAAATATTAAGCACAAAACTGATTTCAACATTGATAATTATAAAAATAAAAACTCTTTCTTGAGCAGAAAATCAGCATATTAGAATGATTTCTTAAGGATCATGAAGACTGGAGTAATGATGCTGAAAAATCACAATAATGAATTACATCTTCAAATGTATTACAATCAAGAAGAAAAAAAAACAGTTCTTTTAAATTATAATAATATGGCACAATGTTACTGATTTTAGAGTATTATTGATCAAATAAATGCAGTCTTGGTGAGTATTAGAGACTTCTTTCAAATTTCTTACTGACCCCAAACTTTGGAATTGTAGTCTAATCATACAATCTTCCAAACTTTGCAGTATACATGAGAGCGCACTGCATCAAATCCTGTCTCAAGTAAAATGCCACGATGATAACGGGACACCATTTGCTAATTGAATAAGCAACATGAGGGGGACAACTATGTAGTTTGAAACCCTTTTTTGTTCATCGTTCATACCTGTGCTTGAAGCCCCAGTCTAGGTGGGGTGGTCAGGAGACTCCCTGGGCTTTGCTGAGGTAGTGAAATCAAATTTGATGTCGAAAGCAAACCTGAGAGAGCGTGAATGGGAATCACACATTAAAGACATCACTGCACGTGCACGCAAATGTTATTGCTATGATGAAATAATGTGTGAATAGGCGCATCTTACCTTGCTGACCCTGCTGAGCCTGGGCTTGAGGCAGCAGGAACTGGGCAGGGGACTGTAGAGGATGACCTGGCATCAGTACCAACTGCTGTAACTGCAACAACTGCTGAATGTCCTTCAGAGAGAGACAGAAAGCCTTATGAGGGTGAAAAAAAGACAAGTGAGCGAGTCAAGACATGGGGAATAAGTAAAAAAAAGTCCAGTTACTAAGTCAAGTTACAGAAAATGGCAATTTGCATTGTATCGAAGAACCCTTCACCTGATATTTTAATTATAATCTCATTTTTACATTCTTTTTAAAGTCCTCACTATATAACTAAATATTTCCTCACACTTGACCAGATGTTTCAAGAACAAAATATGCATATTTCACACATTCATTAAATACTTCAATGCATTTGAATCATACTAAATTGTTAAGTAACTTAAAATAAAGATTTGTTCACAAATTATATTGTATTAATATTCAATTAATTTATGAATATTTATATTATTATTTATAATTAGGTCCCACTTTATATTAAGTGGCTTTACTTCCATTGAAATTAATAATTTGATACAATGGACTTATTGTGTACATACATGTTTTCACATTGTAGGCTACTTATATTTTGAAAATACCTGCATGTAATTACAGCTGTAACTAATATATGTAATTACACTGTTAACCCTACCCTTACACCTACCCATACCTGTAACTAACCTTACCAATAGCGGCAAAAGATTTTTACAATACAACCTGAACACACTAAGTACATTGTACTTATTTTTCAATGTAAGTACATGTAAGTAATTAAAGCCACTTAATATAAAATGGGACCATTAATTATTTTATTTATGTATTTATTTAAATGAGGTATTAAAGGATTGCATTGTAAGAGTAGTGTAAGAATATAATAACTAGGTACTAACCCTGAACCTACCCCCTAAACCTAACCTTAACCCATGTAGTCACATTGTAAGTACACATAAGTGCATGTACGGTTAAAAAAAAAAAAGTGTAATCTTATGTATTTATATACTAATGGACACATTGCAATAACGATCGTATATTTGACCGGGATATAGAAATACAGGAATCTAGCCTCTGATCAAAAATGCATTTTCCGCAGAAGGTACCTGGGCAGTGAGCTGGATAGGCTGCGATAGAAGAGGAGGCGGAGCTTGCTCATGTTTGGCTTGAGACTGGGCTTGTGCTGCGGCCTGATTGGCCTGCTGCTGTTGCGTGTGCTGCTGCTGATTGGCTGCGGCAGCTGCGTGGGCCGCATGCGCTGCGTTTGACTGCTGCACGGCTGCGGCTAACAGCTGCGCTTGAGCCTGCTGCAACAACAGCTGCTGCTGTGCAGGGAGGAGAGCGGCCAGCTGAAGAGGAGGAGCGAGGGATAGACAGAAAAGGTGGAGAGAAGAACAGCGTCACCAAGCAGCAGAGGGACCTTCTCTTAAGCAAGCAGACCCTGAGATGGCATCCACGACATGGTTAAGCGAAGAAGGTTATACATCAACCGAAAGCATGTTGCATTTAGTTAATAGAAGCATAGAGCACAAGTAAAAGAGAGTGAAAAAAAAGCAATCCATATAATATTTGTGTTTGTTGTCATTCATTAAGAATAATTATTATATAGCAATGTTTACTTCCAGAGCAGGATTTCCAAAGTGATCTCCTAACAAATCATTTTGCCCCAAACTCATGCTACGGACCCTTTTCACATTTCCAGGGTTCAACGAAGCAGAAGTCACAGGTGTCATTGTTGAGTACACTTCTATAGTGGTGAATGGGAGACGACAGCAATTTTGTTGCAGGGTTGTGCAAAAATTAATTGTGATTAATCGCATCCAAAATAAAAGTCTGTGTTTACATAATATATTTGTGTGTGCTGTATATAATTATTTTGTATATATAAACACACACACACATGCATGTATATATTTAAGAAAATGTGTTATTCATATACAGTATAAAATATTTATATTTATATAATATAGATTATGTATTTATATATATACAGAATTTAAGCGCAAATAATTCTTAAATATAAACATGCATGCATAGGTATTTACATATACAAAATAATTATATACAGCACACACAAATATATTATGTAAACACAGACTTTTATTTTGGATGCGATTAATCGCAATTAATTTTTGCACAGCCCTAATATATATATATATATATATATATATATGAAAAACTGTACTAGATTAGCGATACCATCCCATCCTGTGAAAAGGGTCCATTGGTTGAAATAAAAGTGCCACAAAGTGTCAGAGTTTAGCTTTATGAGGGAAGTAAACTACAAATGGCTTAATAATATTGCCTCTGAATATTTATATATATTATATATATTAAAACATTTATAATTTAAAAAATGGTAAAAAAAAAAAAATATTACACTTGACCTTTATATAAAAAAATATAATAAAAAAGTCATTTGAATACAAATCAAGAACATTTTAATTGGATCATACATTTTTGTTGAATTATTCATTAAATGTAGTATTAATAATATTTATTTAAAAAATAAGTTAAAATAATGTTTAAAATAATAAAAATTTAAAAAAAAATATTTTAATTAAATAATTAATTAAAATAACAATTTCAAAACATCAGAGGTGCTTACTTATTGAAGTAGTAAATCATTTAAGCCATAGGTTTGAAAATGAGACATTTCAGCTTGAACTACATTAAATCATAAAATGAAGTTGCGAACAAGTGCTGTTTTGTTTCCTCGTCAAAAGATTTTTCATTATCTTCACTTGTGTACCTGTTTGTCTCATCATGTAAGTGTGTGTGTGTGTGGTTCATGTCTTCCCTACGGGGATAAAAGGATAGTAATACCAGAAATATTTGATGTTGTGGGAACATTTTTCAGTCCCCATGAGGAAAACAGCTCATAAATTATGCAAAATTATGTTTTTAAGTAAATTTAAAATGCTTTTTTTCTGTGAGGGTTCTATTTAGGGGCGGGGTTAGGGCACTGAATATACAGTTTGTACAGTATAAAATCATTATTTCTAATGGAAAGCCCCCATAAAACGTGTGTGCGTTTGTGTATAAGCACATACCCCTGCGAGCTGACTGCCTGCCAGCATGAGTTGTGTGTGTGGTAGAGAAGGCTGAACTGGAGGAGGAGGAGGAGCGTGAACACTGGTCATCTCAACGGCCTCCTCGGCTTTAACCTATAAAACATGTATGGAATATTAATAATACATATACACATAAACACTAATAATATAATACATCAATGTTCTCACACACAATGCCTTAAGCCAACCCTTTTTAAGTCGGCATATACATTTTTTTGTGTGCATTATCATAAATGTATTACCAAATGCTAAAATAGCCTCATTTTTTATTCATTCACCTATATTAAATTAACAATCTCATACAGCTAGCTTGCAACTAATATGCAAAATACACAAGACCACTATTAAATATCAATAACCGATTACACCAACTACCACTTCATGTCTTTTCTTGTCAGACTAAAACCACACAAGGCCATTTCCATAAGTAAACACACACACACACACTTGCAGTTATTCATTTGATTACTCACTAATTCAAAAGAAGAGGAGCCGCTCAACTCGTTTAGTTCTGTAAATATCCATCAAGAGTCTCTCTACTAACTGCATCTGCCTTGCGATCACTCGAAACTTCTCTTTTTACCTCACTTCTGATCGATCCGGATCCTATCACACGTTTCGTTCGTCACAGCTCTCTCTCTCTCTTGTAAATTGCCTGGCATCTTGTTAGGAATGCGGTTAAAAACTGACTAAAGAATTTACATTTGCATATTACAATGTTAACGTATAAATCCCGAGGGCATCCATGCTAGTGAACGCGGTCAAATTAAAGAGCATTAGGCATGAACACACAAACACACACACACACACCTTTGTGTTGCTGGGTGCAGGAGACAGGCAGAACGGACTTGTTTTCATTGGCTGGATCTGAATGAGACAGGAGCAAATCATTAGGGACAAAACTCAAATGCCCTCAACTGGATCGCTTTAGCTTTAATAAATCTAAAACAGAACAAATTTAGGCTAATTTGGGAAATTGGCAGTAAATTTGACAATTCATTTGAAAGAAAGAGCAAGTAACACATTGAATTATACATGCAATTTTAAAAGTAGAAAAACTCTATAATAATACAATAATCTTTGTTATTATTTTGTTTTACAGTGTGTTCATAAAATCACAGTCATGCTTCTTAGTTAAATATCAGTATTGATGCACAACTGTGAAAACTGACAAGTTCGCTAAGTTCAAACCTCATATTTTTCATTGCATTTATCCATATTGTTATTGCAGTATGCGGCAAACTTCAAAGTGGCGAAATGAGCATGTTAGCTACGGGACTGTCCCTGCAAACATTTGCAACTGACGAATGCTGCGTGTAATTAAAAGAAACGCTCTAGCATTTCAAGATGTATTCTTACTTAACAATCTATTAGCTTTCTTATTGGCTACCCTCTATCAACTGATTTTTATAAAACTACATAAATGGTTTAAGAATTTCTTTTTCCCAAACATGCTAAAAATATTTGTATTTAATTTCTCCTCTGACACCCCTAATGTAGATGGTCAAGATTTTGGAGAACCTCTCAATGTTGATGCACTTTTGCTTTTTGTATTTCACACATTCATTGAGATCAAACTACTAACATAACATTTTCTCTGAAAGTTGTTCACTCACCTGATCGCTGGCCTCTGGACTGTTCCTCTCAGAGTCTGTAAACACACACACACACACACACACACACACGCAAGGACACATCAGGTCAGAATAGTGCCTCAGGCTCCAGCCCTCACATCAACAAAAGCGTGTTCTGGTTAGCCAGAGGCATTGCATTATTGGAATACCATGGAGCGTTTAACCTGGGTTACTGTGTGCTGCTGAGTGTGTGTGTGTGTGTGTCAGATTGAGGCCACGGCTGACTAAAGTGTTCTGTGTGTGGTTCAGACCAAGTGGAAAATGTGAGAAATATGATAAAACAAAATCTCATCACTCACACACACTAACACATCTAGGAATAGTCATGAATCATACATGATAAAACATGCAATGTTTCACACCCATCTCTCACAAATATCATCACACAAATCTGCTTGACTTTAATAACAATAATTATATTGATTCTATTCATAATGTACATAATAGCTTAACATCTACTCATAGTAATAATATTTACCTGTACTATCGACTGGAAACTCAGTCCCCATCTTATCGTCATCGACAGCTTTAGACATCCTGATATCTACTGAAACAGAGAGAGGAACTGACTGAAAACGTCTCTTGGATTTGAGCTTTTTTTTTTTTATCAGTCATCCTTATTTCATCAACCACATAAAGGTTAAGTTTTCATCATAAAGATTCATCAAAAAAACAGCATACTGGTGCTGAAACTGGTCCTTTTCTTTTCATCCTGCTGTCGTCATTTTTCAGCAAAAGAACGCACTATAAAATTATACAACCCTGGTTTAGGCTTTTGGACGTCGTTAAAAATACCTAAAAGATCATTTTCAGGATTTATTTTATTTATATCAGCAGCATAACTAATAACTCTTTCATATTTAAAATAGTAACACACCTTGACACCAATGGATTCAATTTTACTCAAAGATCCTTAAGAGTTTACCACTTAAAAATATTTTCCCTTTATTTAAAATCCAAAATATTTTCGTGTTAATTTTTAATTTATGAGATAAAAAAAAAAAACAATGAAAAAATATAGTTGGTTTAACTTAAAAAAATAAGACAGATTTTTTTTTTCATTTTTTTATATGACATTAAGCAAAGTGTGTCACATAACTTGGCAAATAATCAAATATATTCACATAATAGCTTGATATTTAATTGAGCTTAAACATCTTTGAAAAGATCTCACTGTAAAAAAATATTGTTGGTTTAACTTAAAAAAATATGTAACCTGGTTGCCTTAAAATTTTAAGTACATTGAACTGGAAAAATTGAGTTAAAACAATGAAGGAGCTTGATTTAATCATCAGAAACTCAAAATATTATGTTATCTGAACTACATAAATGATCTAAGTTGATTTGACAAAAGAAAAAATGCGATTACAAATCATGAAAATATTTTTTTTACAGTAAGAAATCGATTTTTTTTTTTACATTAAGCAAAGTGTGTCACATAGCTTGACAAATAATCAAATATATTCACATAACATTCCAAATAGCTTGATAATTAAGCTTAAACATCTTTGAAATTATCTCGCTGTAAAAAAATATTGCCGGTTTAACTTAAAAAAATGACGTAACCTGGTTGCCTTAAAATTTTAAGTTCATTGAACTGGAAAAATTGAGTTAAAACAATGAAGGAGATTGATTTAATCATCAGAAACTCAAAATATTATGTTATCTGAGCTACATAAATGATCCAAGTTGATTTGACAAAAGGATTAGGGTTTTTACAGTGAATATAATAGCTTAATCCAAGCTGTAAATAGTTCATCCAAAACCTCTAATTAACGAAACAAACGCCTTCGAGTCAAAAGTCAATTTCCATCAGCAAAACTATTCACCGGGCAGCTCAATGGCTCTATCTGTCTTTCCTTTGTCCTTTACTTTCCTATTTCATTCTGTTTTGGTCCTGTTTGACACCCTCTTCATCCTAATACAGCACCTGCGCCTCCCAGAGAGCAGCGGGAATGGAGGGGCACGTCCCATCCCGCACGGCATCATTCATACAGATACACACACACAAACACACCCGCAATAGCTGTTAATGCGGGGAGGAGAGGGTTTCATCCCGCGAGAGCACGTGTTGCTCTTCGCAGGAGGATAACAGCTTTTCTCTTTCTTACTCACGGTGAAATAGATGGCCACATCAGACCCTCTACAGCCAAATTGATTTCCCCGTCCGCTTCACTTACCGTTAAATTAGTTCATATTACACGGCCGGAACGTGCATGAACATAAAACATATTGCAAAGACTCTTTTTATGGAAGCAATCACGTCAGTTAGTGACTCTGTAAACAACATTTGAGCCAGAAAACGTTCCACAGCATCAAGATGTAAATGTTAAGCAATGATTTGCACTGTGAAAAATATTTTCAAGATTTGTTATCACAACACATTTTCTTTTGTCAAATCAACTTTATAATAATTTATTTAGTTCAGATAACATATAATCTTGAGTTTCTGATGATTAAATCATTCTCCTTCGTTGTATTAACTCACTTTTTCCAGTTCAATGAACTTAAAATTTTAAGGCAACCAGGTTACTTACTTTTTTAAGTTAAACCATCAATTTTTTTTACAGTCTGTAAACTAAAAAAATGGCAAATTATATTACTAAATGCTAAAATGCAATTAAATAAAAACCTGAATTTCTTGCACACTTAATAATACTTTAAACGTTTTAATTAGACATTTAAACATACGATTGGAAACCTCATCACTGAAATATTTCATTAAAAATGATCAGAACTTAAACGCATAAATCGATGACAGCTCGAATCACGAAAAGTCAGCCTCAAGTAAACCTTACGTTACAACCAACCACACACAGAAAGCAAATTATAAGCCTGATATTACAGTAATATTAGAATAAGGTGCATTTTAGTAGTGTGATCTGTTACCTAAATGAGTTCTTGAAGGTTCTGACTCACCGGAATGTTTTTTGCTCAACTCTCTCTGTCCTCTGATCACTCGGTGAGAACAGCTCCTTCACTCTATATGCCACTATTACGACCGTGGGCGCTTTTTTTCTTTTTGGGGTGTTTCACAAATTTCACTTGCTTTAGTCATAGAAGTCAAATTAAAGCCGCTTTCCAACCGATGCAAGCGAAACCTCTATCCTCCGCCGCCCACCGCATTCGAGCGAGTTACTAAATTAGGATGAATTACTCACTGATATTGATAGTCAAATGACTGGAAATGAAAGAAAAGATTGATCACCTGCTTCCAGACAGTCACGCTGGTGAGGTGAAGCAGAGATCGTAAGCACGGTGTAAATCACGGTCAGTGAGCCACCGACTTATTTTTTCATGATGCAAAGCCACGAAAGGGCCTAGATGAGCGAATATGACGTGCTGGTTGCATAAAACCGTCTCGCACTTCCTTCATCTGTGTGTCTGACTCGAGACCCTTCAGGTCCAGGAAGCTTTCAAGATCCAATAAGAACGTCTCGTTTTCAATTTCTTTAGAAAACCAATGTTTTTTAAAAAAACTAAGAAGGCAAAATCTGAGTTGATGGACATATAATACAATAGAGAGAAGTTTTATGATCTATAATAAACCATAAAGCCTACACAGCAAAAGTGTGGTTGATAATGATGCATGGTCCAATGAGGCTGTGGAGAATTAAACAGTAAAATCAATGGAGACACTAACTTAACTTAATGTAGATGTCTAATAAAGAAAACGTAAGAAAAAAGGGCCCAATGTACACTGTAAAAAAGTTGCTTCCTTATTATTATTATTTTTTTAAGTACAATCAACTTGCACTCTAAAAAATGCTGGGTTGTTTCAACCCAAATTTGGGTTGAAACAAACCAGCATTTTTTAGAGTGTAGATGTTTAAGTCATTTCAACTTAAATTATATTAAACTGACTTTAACGACTTTTAAAAAAAGGTTGAAATTGCTCAACTTATTTCGATGAGTTAATGCAATGTAAACCCATATGTTGTCATAACTTATTGATCATATTATTTAAAATGAAGGAATTTTCCATATTGATTTTGAATTACACATTGTGTTAAAGGGTAAAAAGATGTGTCTGTTAACAGATAATGTCAGAAAATCACCTGTACCTTTTTTGCATTTCTACACTGTAAAAAAAATATTATAAAATATAATATTTTTTCTTTTGTCAAATCAACTTAAATAATTGATGTAGTTCAGATAACATAATATTTTGAGTTTATGATGATTAAATCAATCTCCTTCATTGTATTAACATTGTATTAATTTTTTCCATTAAGTTAAACCAACAATATTTTTTTACAGTGAGGATTTTTTTTCTTACAGAGAGTTACTTCTAAAAGTCTACACTGTCCATCGTCATATAATATTTTTTTTTAAAGTTAAGGTATTCTATTAAAGTATATTTGATGAACAAATTTTTCTCAACATTTTAGTCCACAATTATCGCTATTGCCAGCTTACTATATTCTCATTACAAGACATCTTATTATATTGAATATAATCATCATACCAATGTTAAATATATATTCCCTTTTAAATATTTACAAATGAAAAATTCTGTATTACAGTGTAGCTATGCTATTTAAAGATTGTGGTATATTTCGGTAATGACTCACCTTTGTATTCAAAGGACACACTAAACATGACTAATTCACCAAAACCCTCACGAAGGCCAATTGGAAATATCCTATTGTGATGATAGACAAAATAGTGTGAAAAACGTTGAGGTTGATTCACATGCCATTGTGTCAGTATTACCCACAAACCTCTGTGCTGTGAGTCAGTCTAGTGTCACCCCATTTCCTGTTCCTTCCACTCACTCTCATCTCTCACACACACACACACACACACACACACACACACAGTAACGAGAGATATTCTTGGAAAAACTCAATCAATTAGCATCAGTCACATCTTTTTAAAGAGTAAAGCTGACTGAGAGTAACAGATTCACAAGTCATGTTCCTATGAGAGCCTTTGAAAGCTCTTTTGTTTTGAAAAATGCACATTAACTCATTAAAATGGGAATGCACATTCTGAAAGAATACATTTAACACACTATGTCACTTTTTATAAAACCAACAGCCAAATACATATATTTTGAATATAGAATTACCTTATTAAATTAAGTTAAATATCATTAAATTGAGGTTTGAATAATTATTAAATAATTATAATTATTCATTTAACCAAAACTAAGTGATGTATAGCTAAATAAAAATTGCTTTAATAATCTAAGAGGCATATCACTTGCATAAATTTCATTTCATAAGAATCAATTACTAAAGATTCAAACAAACTATTTAGTAAAACACAAAGTAATAAAATGCTCTGTATATGATTCAAAAACAACATTCAAAACTGGGATTTAAACATTTTGGCTACAGATAAAAAGGTACAAAGCCTAAAAAGTGTGTTTTTTTGTTTCATAACATTTTACTGCTATAACATAATGCTTTAGCACAAATGCAGACACCGCAAAAATAAAGCAAAACTCATATACGGCCGGCCCTGATGGAAACTTAATTAACTCCCATAAACCATGATGTGAGCACCTCAAAAACATAGTACAGTTTACACTCTAAAAAA